ATATACATGATTTTTATTTGTAGAAAATGGAATGTTCTGAACACACACAAAAATCAGGAACATCATGACATAAAAGATAAAAATTGGGACAAAATATGATCAGAAATATCAAGAATATCAGGATAACTAAGAACCCTGTGATGTTCAAAACTCTTAATAGTTATAAAAATAGCATATTATTCAATAAAACATTACTTTTTTTGAGGCTCTAAACAAAATAAAAACAAACAAATATTTGACCTTTCCAGCAACATATACCACTTTAGTATCATGATCATAAAGAGAACGCCAGAAGAAATATCAATGTTCTCAATTCTCAGATGAGTGTCCAAATTGTGCTGAAAACATATACATATTTTTGAGTTTACAATTCAAACATTATTCAAGAACTTTTTAAGGTGAAATATTTTAAAGGAGGGTAAAGCTGAGGGTTCGGTTATATGAAGTAACATAGACTAGTTCTCTTCTGGAGGTTCATTTTGGAGAGATAACATTTCTTACAAATTTCTCAAAAAATCTTTTTAAATATATTTTTCTAACTAGTCAAGAAATTTCCATGATATCATGCCTGTTTATTTGAATCTGTTGCTTCTCATCTCGCAACTTCACATGATCAGTTTGAATCTTTGCTGAGTAAAGAGGAATATAACTTAAAGTTTTTACTCTAATTAGATGAAATTTCAAAAAAAAAAATAATAAAAGGAAAACTTACTATTTAGTGAGTCAGATAGAAGTGAACAAGAAAGCTTTTATGAGGTTCACAATAATTTCCTTAATAAATCATTTTTGTATTACTTTTATAAAAATTCAATAGTTTTGTTATGTCCTGTGAAATATCTTTTAAAATACATACGAATATCCTTCGCAAGGAGTCATTGCAAATAAGCATCATCCCAATACGGGTGACGTGGCCTGATCAGAAACTATGCTGTTACCTGAAGATGGGTGACGCGGCAGTCAATGTGTTAATCAAATAAGTATAAAGTAGGGTTTCAATAATCTTGAAACAAAAGCAGAGTGATTGTGTTTCTTAACACTTTTGTACAAAATTAATTTAGTGGATAATACCTCAATTTCCCATTCGAAATTGTTATGACATGATTAGAATCAAATATTATTAAAATCAGATAAAAGAGATAGATCAATATGACTTTTAAATGTTCAATGTTTGTTATTGCATTTGCATAAATAAGTGTATGAACCTTGAATTTTTCACCATAAAAATTTTACATTACATAAGATTTATTGAGTATCCTTTTCGTAAAGTGACTGCATTCCTAAATAATTTGAAACAAAGTATCCTGCAGGTAAGGTTGCATGACTTAATTGTGCATATAAATGAGCACTCCATAAATTTGAATCATCAAATATTGTGAATTTTAAAAGCACAATTACATAAAATAAAACATTGCTGGGTTGAAAATACAAATTTTTCAAAATTAATTTAACCATTCCCAAATTAATGGAAAATTCAAACTTATGGCAGTAATTATATACATGATTTTTATTTGTAGAAAATGGAATATTCTGAACACACACAAAAATCAGGAACATCATGACAAAAAAGATAAAAATTGGGACAAAATATGATCAGAAATATCAAGAATATCAGGATAACTAAGAACCCTGTGATGTTCCAAACTCTTAATAGTTATAAAAATAGCATATTATTCAATAAAACATTACTTTTTTTGAGGCTCTAAACAAAATAAAAACAAACAAATATTTGACCTTTCCAGCAAGATATGCCATTTTAGTATCATGGTCATAAAGAGAACACCAGAAGAAATATCAATGTTCTCAATTCTGAGATGAGTGTCCAAATTGTGCTTAAAACATATACATATTTTTGAGTTTACAATTCAAACATTATTAAAGAAAGGTGAAATATTTTAAAGGAGGGTAAAGCTGAGGGTTCGGTCATATGAAGTAACATAGACTAGTTCTCTTCTGGAGGTTCATTTTGGAGAGATAAGGGCTACATTTCTTACAAATTTCTCAAAAAATCTTATTAAATATATTTTTCTAACTAGTCAAGAATTTTTTTTCACTAATAATCTGAATGATTACCTGTATTCTGGTTTATATCTAGAATTACAAAGTTGTTTAGTTATTCTGTAATATTTTTTACAGATATAAAAAGGCTGTTTTTATCCTCAGTAGCTCTACTACGCAGGACTAATGTGGACAAACTAAGGTGCTAGTGACAAATTTGATAATTTATTAAGTAGTCATTTATCATAACTCAGAAAGGTATATCTAAAGATAAAATTAAATCAATTACAATCTAAGCCTTATGGAGGGCATTTCACTTAACTAAAAATGACATTTCAAACAAAATCAATACATTAAAAATTAGTATTCAATTCGATTTTATTTGATTGCATGAATCAATTTAAAATTGAATCAGTTGCAATAACCATAGTTTTAACTTGATGATGAAATGCTTCAAATGAGGAGAGCATGGTTTAGTAATATTTCCCTCAATGAAAACTACTGGCAAAAGAGAACCATTTGTTGTTTTAATTTAACGTATGGCAAAAATTCTTTAATTTATCTATATTGAATGCTATTCTTTTATCAAACTTGATGAAACATCACCTTTAAATTTTCTTAAAACTTTCAAGGGATGAATTAATCTAAAGGTTTTGTGCTAAATATTGAAATCATTAATTGTAAAGGTATATTATTCTGAAAAATCATTTTGATTAAGGAAATGAATGAATTATATATTTAACCAACAAACATTTATTCCATTGGAAGTTGAACAGAGTCATTGTCCACACTACCCATACCACCATTTCTCTACACTAGTAACATGAAGACATGTTGTATTTGTTTTAGCCTAATACTGGTTAATTGAAAATATAAATAAACCACTGGTTTATTGGTTCTGGCTGCAGCCCCCGTCTATAATATTTCAAAACATAAAACACAATTCAATTTAAAAACAAACCAACATTATTTCTACCTTTCTCATTTGCATGTTATGGTTACAACCATTGAGATGAAAACTTGGAGGCCTTGATTTGTAAAGGAAAGGAGGAAAATAGAGACAGTGATTAACGTTGCAGACCAAAGACTGACTGAAATAGATAGTTCTTAAAAATAGACAGTTAATTAAGAATTTAGGGACTTTTCCCTTAATATGAAAAAAGTACGCTTACTTGTTTTATCCTTATCACATCCCCCACCCCACTTTGCATCGCTGTCAGGGGAATCAAACGTATTTTATGTTCAACTTTGGAAGTTCTCCCATGAACTACTTTTGATTGTTTACTGCGATTGCTGCAGCGCCACTAATATTCTTCATGTATATAATTCATTTCATTTATTAATTTTATTTAATAAATGTATAATAAAAACAAAACAGTTTGCTTCATATTATATACAACGCACATAATTTTTAAATTAATTTGCTAACAGAAATGAAATGGAGAATATCGGCTAGAAAATAAAACTGGGAAAGTTTGGTACCATTAAAACTCACTCAGTATTAGAAACTTTAGTACAACTGGTTCCAAGGCAATTCAAACAATCACACAATTAACTTATTATTTTAACTGTGTCAACATTGGAATGGATAAAACAAAACTGAATGAGTTTCTTATATACATAATAAATTTTTTTTTATAACTTTCATTAATTTAAAAATTTGTTACTNAAAGTTTGGTACCATTAAAACTCACTCAGTATTAGAAACTCTAGGACAACTGGTTCCAAGGTAATTCAAACAATCACACAATTAACTTATTATTTTAACTGTGTCAACATTGGAATGGATAAAACAAAACTGAATGAGTTTCTCATATACATAATAATTTTTTTTTATAACTTTCATTAATTTAAAAATATGTTACTAGATAATACTACTTTTTTAATACATATCTTATCGTGCTTAAACCATTTTTTTTCATAAATAAATACTTCTGATAGATATTTTTTTTTAAACAATAGTACAACTTTTTAAATAATGTATAAATTTTAACACTTAAAAAAATACAAAATGCAGTAAGAATATTTCATTACACATGCTTTTAATCCATAACTAATTAACAACATGCTATTTACACACATATGCATTTTTTTAATAAAAAAAAAGTTAATCAATTGTATTTCAGAAAAGTTCATTAGTTTTCCTTTTTTATTATTATATTATCATTGAAAAGTGACTGATGCAGACTGAGTACTTTGAAACACTTTGGAAATTACAAAATATTTACAATTGTGATTCTAGATATTTTTTTGCCAATAGTGATATCTCTAAATATCTTCAATGAAATTAAAGATATATAGAGATCATGATATACAGATTTGTTTAAAAATATTTCTTGTGTCTTGAAGAATCATTACATTATATATTTCTTCACACAAAATACCTATATATAAGTATAATTCAAGGAGTTTACTTTTGCAGCTTTTATCCTTTTTTCTGTTTTTCACAAAATCAAAACAAACAAAAAATTTAATACGGCACAATATATGACATAATAGGAAACATTTTAGAGTAGTTAGGGGCTTTTCCTTGTTATTTCAAAGTAAACCAAAAATGAGTTTAATATTCTGACAATATTAAAATTCTAACAGCATTAAGATTTTATATACACTACATACACGCAGATAATTTTCTCTTAGATAGAAGAAGCAAACAATTTACTTTGTCTAATAAAGTGGTATTTTAAATCTGTTACTTCAAAAATTTACCCGAATGCTTGATAAAATAAAAATCACAGTTAAAACATTTACTAAAATTCAACTGAATGAAAATGTAACATAGTATTTGTAGTAATATTTTTAAAAAAATTGCAAAAATGCAAACTTTTTTGATATTGTTAAAAAAAAATTCAAAAATTTTTAAGACATGAATATATTCTATGAGCATAGAAGATTTCCTTAAAAGTTGGGAATCCACCAATCTTTTCATGAAAGCTGACAGCTATGCATTTTAATTCTTTATTTTTTTTATCTACAGTTATTACGAAGCATACAATGACTATTACTTTACCTTCATAGATATCAGAATAGGATTTTTGTTTTCTTTTTCATTCAGCCATTCTTTAGCTGTAAGTGATGGAGTAGGTGCAACAGTGTCAGGAACAAATCTTCTTGAAATTGTTCAGACTAGTTAAAAATAAGTTTTGAATATAATATATAAGTAAAAATATAAAACCAGTTACAATATATTTTTGATAATACTTAATGAATAAAATCAAGAAATACTATCAAGACAAGCGACAATTAGCTGATATAAAACATCATGACACGAATACATTGCTAGGCAGAAGGTAAAACAGTAACTAGAATCAAAAAAGGAATTCTCTGTTCTAAAGTAGAACTTAAGAGAATTTCCAAGGGTAGTCACAAAGCTAGATGTAAATATAATGATAACAATATCTTTTATTCCTTTGTGTTTATCACTTCTCACATGAATGAAAAAGGTAAAAATATCAGTTTCTTCATATGAAAAAAAAAGGAAATACAGTCAAACCTCATTAATGCGAAATCACTTAGCGTGAAATATCGTTTTACATGAAATATATGTTCGGTTCCGGGAGTCAGCAATCAATTATTACTGTATTTTACATATTTAACATGAAAATTTCGAGCTGACATGAAAGGTCACAACATAGATAAGAAGCATGTGCATAATGTATCAATTATTCATAATGTATCGGATAAGATGAAATCTGATTAACATAAATAATTATGATACTCCCGCCAATTTTGAGTGAATGAAGTTCGACTGTATTTTTAAAAAAATTTGGTAACAATTCTTAAAACCATTAAATGTTTTATTTTAAGAAACAAAAGGATCCTTAGTAGTTAATGTGATATTTTACTAAAGGTATTTCAGCACTTCTACCTTCTAAGCACTACTCCTTGTTGTACATCAATCCTTTCACTTTCTTCACTTGACATTAATCAATGACATAATAGGAAACATTTTGGAGTAGCTAGAGGCTTTTCCTTGTTATTTCAAAGTAAACCAAAAATGAGTTAAATATTCTGACAATATTAAAATTCTAACAGCATTAAGATTTTATATACACTACATACACGAAGATAATTTTCTCTTAGATAGAAGAACCATAAAATTTACTTTGTCTAATAAAGTGGCATTTTAAATCTTTTACTTCAAAAATTTACCCGAATGCTTGATAAAATAAAAATCACAGTTAAAACATTTACTAAAACTCAACTGAATGAAAATGTAACATAGTATTTGTAGTAATATTTTTAAAAAAATTGCAAAAATGCAAACTTTTTTGATATTGTTAAAAAAAAATTCAAAAATTTGTAAGACTTGAATATATTCTATGAGCATAGAAGATTTTCTCAAAAGTTGGGAATCCACCAATCTCTTCATGAAAGCTGACAGCTATGCATTTTAATTCTTTATTTTTTTTTTTATCTAAAGCTATTACGAAACATACAATGACTATTACTTTACCTTCATAGATATCAGAACAGGATTTTTGTTTTTGTTTTTTTCATTCAGCCATTCCTTAGCTGTAAGTGATGGATTACGTGCAACAGTGTCAGGAACAAATCTTCTTGAAATTGTTCAGACTAATTAAAAATAAGTTTTGAATATAATATATAAGTAAAAATATAAAACCAGTAACAATATATTTTTGATAATACTTAATGAATAAAATCAAGAAATACCATCAAGACAAGCGACAATTACCTGATATAAGACATCATGACACGAATACATTGCCAGGCAGAAGGTAAAACAGTAACTAGAATCAAAAAAAAGAATTCTCTGTTCTAAAGTAGAACTTAAAAGAATTTCCAATGGCAGTCACAAAGTTAGATGTAAATATGTTGATAAAAATATCTTTTATTCCTTTGTGTTTATCATTTCTCACATGAATGAAAAAGGTAAAAATATCAGTTTCTTCATATGAAAAAAAAAGGAAATACAGTCAAACCTCATTAATGCGAAATCACTTAGTGTGAAATATCGTTTTACATGAAATATATGTTCGGTCCCGGGAGTCAGCAATCAATTATTACTGTATTTTACATATTTAACATGAAAATTTCGAGCTGACATGGAAGGTCACAACATAGATAAGAAGCATGTGCATAATGTATCAATTATTCATAATGTATCGGATAAGATGAAATCTGGTTAACATAAATAATTATGATACTCCCGCCAATTTTGAGGGAAAGAGGTTCGACTGTATTAAAAAAAAATTTTGGTAGCAATTCTTAAAACCATTAAATGTTTTCTTTTAAGAAACAAAAGCATATTTAGTAGTTAATGTGATATTTTACTAAAGTATATGAAAAAAAAAAGGAAATACAGTCAAGCCTCATTAATGCGAAATCACTTAGCGTGAAATATCGTTTTACATGAAATATATGTTCGGTCCCGGGAGTCAGCAATCAATTATTACTGTATTATACATATTTAACATGAAAATTTCGAGCTGACATGAAAGGTCACAACATAGATAAGAAGCATGTGCATAATGTGTCAATTATTCAGAATGTATCGGATAAGATGAAATCTGGTTAGCATAAATAATTATGATACTCCCGCCAATTTTGAGTGAAAGAGGTTCGACTGTGTTAAAAAAAAAGATTTGGTAGCAATTCTTAAAACCATTAAATGTTTTCTTTTAAGAAACAAAAGCATCCTTAGTAGTTAATGTGATATTTTACTAAAGGTATTTCAGCACTTCTACCTTCTAAGCACTACTGCCTGTTGTACATCAAGCCTTTCACTTTCTTCACTTGACATTAATCGAACACGATGAATCTCCATCTGTTTCAGATATGGCTATCTTGTGGGTAACCTTCGTTTTTTTCCACTGTTTTCCCCACTAAGTAGATAGGGAAATTTGTTTTGGCAAAGTGCTAAACCCCCAATCAAAGTTACTCTGCCTAAGCTACCCTAAAATAACGCTTCAGTAACCCCAAACATAATTTATAGTGAAATTAAGACCAAGAAACATTTGAAATTTCAGTGATTTTATAATATGCTGTATGATGAGATCAATTCTTAATCTTAAAATTTACGAATAAATAGAACTAATTTATTGATTGCGAAAGGAAAAACATTGGGGTAAAGTATCACCACAAACAAGAGAAAGCTGCCATCTGCTTCATGTCTCTTCTGAACAATAAATAATGCTCTTCTTTTCTTAATAATAAAGTATGGTGATGCATAAACAATATTCTGCTTTTATTTTTTTATAAAAGCAGATGAATTTTAAAGAAAGCAAATGCAATAAAATAAGCATACATTGCCAACATTGGAGAAATAAAGTAATGGAGATTTTACTAGCAACATTATTCAGACTATGTGCATAGTTTTGATACATCAATCATAAACATGTAAGTGAAAAAGAGAATTGGAAATGATATAATCACCTACATTTAATGCAATAAAAATATGTACATAAATCTCGGACTAAAGAAGATTTTTTAAACCATTATTTCTTATACAATAAGAGCTCAATATCAAAATAGTTTTCATAATTTTTAATAAGCTTTATTTTACAGAATTTTTACATGTTTATAATTCGAACATAAGTAGCTAATTTGCTCGGACTAGGAAATTTCTGTTCATAACAGTTACCAGAAAAATTAGTTTTTATAAAAAACAAGCTTACAAGCTTTTTATCAGAAAGTGATAAGTGAAACTGGGAAAATGTCCCTAACATAACATCCCTAACATAATATCTGTAATATTTTGGAGCTGTTTTCATACAGTTCGTTTTCTAGTTGCCTATCTAATTGTCATACACAATTAATAATTCTGAAAACCGAAATATCAATTTTTTGTTGACGATCAGTAACAATACAATGCAAACACAAACAAAGTTGTAACAAGATTCCCATAAGTAAATAACGCATTCGTTATCAGATAAAAAACAATTCACTGAATAAACAACTTGCATCAGCATTCTCCCAACATACGGTTTAACGGGCGAAGCAGTGCAAGAACTGCAAAACTGGCTATAGCGCCATCTGCTGAGGAATAAGAGAAGTGATTTTATGAATGGTGGATATTAATCGCAAAATTTTTTTAAAAATCTCTTCTAAAAATACAGAGAAATTTTACAATATACGGGTGAACGTGAAATAGTCATAAAATACAGGGAGTTTTCGTTAAAAAAACAGGAGACTTGACAGGTATGAATAAGCATTAAAGATGCTAAAAACCTTTTTTTTTTTTTATAATAATAATGCATTGTCCAAAATAATAAAACAATAATTTGTTACAATGAATAAAGGAAATTAAGAAACAAAAGTGGAATGAAAAAAAATACTTTTAAGACAGAAATTTTAAGTTCCCTAACTCAGACATCCATTCGACAACATTCCAGAAACGCTTAAGAATAATAGAATCTCAAGCACACATCTAACGAAGATGGGACCAGAAAAATCAACAAAAATTTTTCTAATCAACAGAAGAGTGAAATTCTGTAATTTGATAAATTTGATATAATATTTGTATAATCTGTAATTTGATAGTGTCAAATTCTCTGAGAATTCCTAGATTTAGGGTAAAATTAAATTTTTCAAATTATGTTTTCCCGATATTCTCAGTACGTACAATATTTGTAGAACATTAGTAAATTGTAATTTCTTTTAAGATTCTATGAAAATTGCTCAAATAGAACTACTTTTTAAAAATATTGATATCAAAATTTTTACTTTAATAATTTGATCTCTATTTTATTTTTCTTGAAAAAAAAGATTAATATGGTATAAAAAAATTCATACCACATAATTAAAAAATGTTTCATCTACAATTAAATAAGAAAAAATAATAGATTATAAATATTTTTTTGCATGGAATTATGTTTGAGTAAACAGGTTTTATGAGTGGGTGCAATTTTTTTTAAAAAGTTTCCTAAGTATTTTTGAAAATATGATTAAAAACACAAAAAGTGAAATTAACATTAAAGAGTCGAAACTTTGGAACGCTCTCCTGATCAAATTATGGGGACCATATTTTCCAGAGAGGGTTGCCACTCAAATCAGGAAAAACAAATTTCCTGTGTTTTCCCAGTACATATACGCAATATATTAAGAGGAAACACAATTACTGTGCTCTTGTGTGAGCTATATTAGGCAAACCACATTTATTAGTTTTAATGGCTGGAAAAACAGCTGAGCATACTTAAATAATGCTTTAGTAAATGAAATAGTTTAGTATAGCTGAAATATCATGGTTAAATATCCCATACATTACGCTTTGAGTGGTCACTATTTTTTAAAAGATAAAAATAAGAAACAAAATTCCTCGTATTTTCCCAGTTTGTAAAGAAAAAAGAAAAATCCCTGTTATTTTAGGTGATTTTTAAATTTCTGTATTTTCCAGGTTTTTTCTGTTCTTACTGTGGAGTGGCAACCCTGCCAGATTGAGGGCTACCCCCTATATTTGGAAGGTTAAGAATGAAAAGATGCAAAAAAACATATATGTTAATGCAGAGAAAATACATTTTTCTGTTTGATTTCGCAACTTAATTAATGACTAGCACAGGGGCGTACGCAAGGGGGGGGGTTGTTAGGGGTTTAACCCCCCCCCTTGAGCTCAGACAAAGTNGAAAATTTGATCATTAGAACGAAAGTTATTTAGCGTGATATCTTTTTTTGCGCACTGTACACAGAAGATATTTAAAAGATGGTAATTTTGATGCACAAAAGTAACATTCACAAAATTTAAAGAGATATAAAAATTTTTCTACAATATTTTTTTCTTATGAACACAGAAAAGAATATAGATATTGAAAAAATTATATAATTACTTCCTTTTCATATTTTATGAGTCGTCACGGCATTAAAAGAAAGAGAGAAAGAAAAAAAGTATTTTAAAAGCTGTGAAATGAACCGATTCCCTTTAAGAAGGGATTAATTAAATGTATGTTGTGCGATTCAAGTATTGCAATAAATAATATTCATGGATGCCACTCTGAAAAACTTTCAAGACTGAACTTATTTTTTGACCAATTAACATAGTCTGTTATTAAACAGAATATTTAAAAAAGCCTTCACTTATCATGAGAGTGGTCGATTCATTATATCATTGAGTTGATTATTTTTCCTTCTCTATTTTATTGATTTAATTTTTAAAGCAAACATATCAAAAATAACAACTACACTTTTTATATCTCTTCACGCCAATTGCTAAATTTCTGACTCTTTCCTGGAGCCATTCATACCTCTATTTTTCACTGCAACATTAAAGTTGCTCCCAGATAATTTATTAAAAAATCATTTTAATTTAACTAAGCATCTCAAAATATCGAGAAAAACAATTTAAACTCAAGCAAATCCTGACTTAACAATGCAAATTTTATTTACACAAGTTCAGTCAATAACACTCAATATAAAAATAACACTATTCTTCAAAAAATTATTAAAAAATATATTTTATCTAAAAATAGTTTTCAAATTTTCGTTTAAAAAAAAAATTTTTTTTTTTGAAAACTTTAATTCAAGAAAAAAACAAAATGGAAATATATATTAAATGGGGGACTGAATTCAATCCTCATTATGAGAATCAGAGTTGTAACAAAATTTAAATTTCAGATTAGCAGAATCCCGATAAATTTTAGACAGAATATAAATTATTGATTTGCGGAAGTCCGCGATTTAACGGAAAATCACATGCATCATTAAATTTATAACACAGTACAAGTAAAATAAACTGTTTACTAAACCAATGCAAAAATAACAGCAATAAAGGCAATACCTTAAAATAAATATAATTAATAACATAATGGAGTAGTAATTAAACAATACTTACTAATTTCATTACACATTCTAATCAATAGTTTTTAAGATTCCAATAAAACATCTTCAACTGGTAATGAGCCGACAACAGCCTGAAAATGAAATAAAATTAATATAAATAATACAATTCATAGAGCAATTCATGACCATATTAAATAAATTTTTGAATTACATTAACTAATTTATCAAACTTTAGAATATTCTTAAAATAATAAAAACAGAAAGCATTCCGAGCTTATTTAGCAGAAAAACTTAACTTTAACTTACACATTTTAAATTTAAGCAGTGACTAGATTACGGAAACAAAATGAATGATTAATGACCACAGCTAATCCATAAACAAATCGAACAATAATCAAATCAATAGAATAGATTAACATAATAGATAAATATGTCAAATCTAGAAACTTTTTTTTATACCATAAAATTAGAAATATTGTAATACTAGCAAAACACATACTAATAGTCGAAATCAAACAAAAAAAATATAAAGAAATAA